AAGCTGTCACTTTTGAAAACTTTGATGCGCGTTGAAAACCAAGCAGGTCTTGGGCCGCCTGCGCGGTGCATCCCCAGTGCTGTTGCTGTATATACGGAGCTGGGATGCTTTCCTCTCCCTGTAAATGTGTTCTCGTTTTAATCAGTTGGGAGGATTTATTTTGCTAAACAGTTGACTAACACATGACTCACATTTCAAAAAAAATACTATTTTGGTTTCTTTTGCATATAGTGTCTAGTGTTCAAAATAGAAAATTAGAGGTTTTCTGACAAGTACGTGATGCTGCTTGGGAGGGTGGCTTTCTTAGCAGTAATTCAGAATTTTTGTTTAGTTTCTGAAGCTTTGCCCTTCTGTCTAGCTTTGACTAATATTGTTTGAATTTAGAAGTGTACTAATACGACACAAGATTTGAATAAAGTTTATCTTTAAAGAGATAGCGGTCTCATTTCATTGAAGAGGAAACAGGATTCTGGAATACCTGTGGATTGTAGACTGTCTGTAGTAATGGAACGAACCACAGTTCTCCAACTGGGGGAGACATCGTAGCAGTAAATGTCAGCGTTGATGCGTTAGACACTCAGCCGGTACTTTAAATGCATTTTCTCATTTAATCCTTGATTCTGAGGTGCATATTAATATTATCCATATTTGATAGGTAAGAAAATTGAAGCGTCTTAGAGAAGATTAAATAACCTGCCTCAGGTCAAAGAGCCAGCTAATCTCAGAGACTTAATCAAACCTAGACCCATCTAACTTTCCAAACCCATGCTTTTAAAACACAGTTTTGTGTAGGTGACAGTATGCAAAGTATAGACTTGGCTTTAGGAAACTGATCTTACTTGACATGTGACCCAGGCAGGTTATTATAACGTCATTGAGCCTTGACCTTCCTCATCTGTAAAATGGGGATAATAAAACTTTTCTTGCAGTGTTTTTAAGATTAGAAGTCATTTATGTAAAGTGCCTGAAAAAGAGTAGGCATTCGATAAATAGTTTCTTCTTTTCCTTGAAAGATACTCAGTATGCACGATTCTAGGTTACATATTTTTTTAAACCTTAAGTCATTGGATCCTGTCAGCAGGTATTTTCTCCTTTTAGCATCAGCCTGTGCCACCAACCAAGGATTTTAAAGAGGTGCTGTTGAACGGGACACCAGTACAATTGGAACAGTTATCCATTTCTTAAATGAGTAAGGAGATTTGCTACGGGAGAGCGGGGAAAAGATGTACATGTAAGCCCCTGAACCCTGATGGGAAGAGTGAGAATTAAGACCCTTAATTGGGTATCATTTCAGTTAGTAAAAAGGAGACGGTTTTGCATTAAGCATCACTGAGGTTAGATGAGTACGTTACTTGTTCCTGGGATAATGCCCAGACAAGTTTGGCTCATTCATGTTGGAGCTATCGATGTGAGTTCATTACTGGGAGAAAAGGTCAGAGAAGATGCATTAGGACCAGTTTATGGAAAGCCTTCCATTTCATGCTAGGGGGTTGAACTCCCTATTAAAATTTTTTTTATCTGAACAGCTATAGGCTAGGAGAAATCACATTTCTCAAAATGAGTGATTTTGCACATTAAAACTTTAAGATAGGTCTGAGTGCCACACCAGGAAACACAATTACTTGTAAACAGGGCAAAAGGGGTAGGGATGGAATAGTTAAGAGTCAACCAGGCTTGCTTCTAAGTACTAATTATCCTCGTTCACACAGGCTGCCATTAAACTTTAACTGTGGAGAATTCATAGGAACAAGACCACACTTAGACCAGAATACTTAACTGATGAGTGGCATACATTTTTATACCCCTGGGGAAACAACATATTTTCCACGACTCTCAGATGCCTAAGTACAGAAATCATTAAGCTACCTTTTTACGTCTGCTTACTGTGTTCCCCTACCCGCACGACTACACATAAAATTAAAATCATCCATGAAATAAAACGAATGGGAAATGAAGCAGTTAAAATTATGTCTGAAAGCTGCTTATCCTCCGCAGCTCTGAGTGAGTCAGTAACATGTGGTGGCTGGAATCCTGGTCCTGTGTACACACCTCTCTTTAGTAAACAGAGTGCATCAGAGAAAAGCCACTAAAGAAAATGCAAAAGAAAAAAAATGCCAACTTGCTTTCACCTGCTGCCTTTGCCTTATCACCAATATTCTCATCTGTCACTCCCCATGCAGACATTGTACAGGACCCCCAGTCCCACAGGAGAGCAATGGCTTTATTACCCGCTTGGTCTAATTTTTCTCACCACGACCAAAGGTCAAAGGGAAGTGCTGGTAAACCTACCTAGCACACCGTGTTGCTAAAACTCAATTCT